AGTGTTGCAATTATTTAAGAACGAAGGACATATATGATAGACTTAAACATGGAATTATGAGGTTAATTGAAAAACTATGCCTTCATCGTTATAGAGGTTCACAAATAGAAGAAATGAGGTAAAGTGAATGATAAAAGATTAACTACTAAAATAAACTTAGCAGAATAACAAATTCTTGCTCCCTTTTGTGATAAACACAATGTATAATGACAATTCGGAAAATACTCACAATCACATAAACACAATTTATAATGACAACTCAGAATGTACTCTCAATCAGATTGTCAGCCCAATGTCACCCCCATTTCATATACTCCATATAGCGGTATAATAAATTACACTGAAAATAATTGGAGTACTATGAGAATAGCAGTCATTCCAGTTAAATGCTCACTAAGCTATTGAATGTGCTAAATTTGTATCATCAACCCACGATTTTGCAACAGATATTTACAAATCACCTAGTTACCAGCTAGACTCAGTCAGTGATTCAGTGAACCGACTATAGATGCTATAACCAAATTCAACTTCAAGTACCTGATTTTATGTAACGATTCTATTCATTAAAATAACACTCCCTAGTAAATAGCTTATTCATTGGCGTTATATTCACCTTATATAGTCATCAACCTAGAAGTACTACGCACACAAACAACACACATATGAGGCCATATTTTAATTCAGTTCGTGTGACCAATAATGGTAACATGAGAGTAGATTACTTTTGATCTCACAAGGACCGGAATCAGGTGAATGGGGCTTGGCGATAAGAGGCGAATTTGGAGTAGAATCGGAGTCAATTGGTGAGTCAGTTGACTCGAATGTGACGGCGCCTTCCAGAGATCCGTGAGCAATTTGCCAGTTTGTGGTCGATATGGAGGTCGGCGAACTTTCTCCACTGCAGCAATCGCAATTACCGTGATCTTCACCGCCGGTCGGAGCAGAAGGAACCATCACCATCTTGCATTGATGTTCATGCGTTTTGTGTAAGCCTGATATATATCACGCGACTAAAAACATAAAAAGAAATTGCAATAAAGGAAAGAAAATGTCCCAAGAACGTCGTTGCACTTTTTGTATACCCGGAGTACTAGAAAATGATGTGAACTATTAACATTGTATCATGTTTCTTCATCAATCAACTACAAAAATCAACATTCCTTCCATCTCACTCAAATAGAAAAAAAATTAGTGTACACGGGGTACGACTTGTATACAAAAATTGATGTTAAAATACGATATAATTTTTGTACACATTTTGTATACATCAAGAATGATCTCACTCAAATATGTTGTCTTTCTTTTTTATTTGTCCCAAAAACTTTGACGTTTTCTTTTAAAACAATAAATTTGTAATTCTATTTGCTTCTCTTTCCTCTGCACAAATCTCAATCTCACAACTTTTAAGTTTATTATTACTCATATAATTCGAACTCAGCAAAGTTCACTGGAGCAGTGTTGAGGGAGCATAGATAATATGATACTCTGTATGTATAATGGTGATATTTATTGCTCGGCCATCAGCCCATGACACAAGCTCACGGGCGGAAACACCATAGAGCCTGGAGGTGCCCGTGCCCCTGCAGTGAAATATTTTTTTAAAATATATATACATACATATATTGATTTTTATTAATTTGAGCCCTTGCAGCCCAATCCCAATTCTCTCTTTCCCTTGTCTGTTCGGCCCAATCCCATTTCCCTCTTTCCCAGCAGCCCAATCCATTAAGTCTCAACTACTCAATTCAAGCCTAGCTTCCCTACCCTTTCCCCTTAGCCCTTGTACCGCTCCGCAGTTCAAACTCACATCAGTCTGCAGCAATAGCAAGCCAGCAACTCCCAGTAACTCAACGAAGGTCGACGGCGACTGCGAGCACCTCAGCGACGGCCAATGGCAACTATGAGCATCTCAGTGACAGCTGACGACTACTGACCATTGACCACGGTGTTGCAATCTTGCGGGTATATTTAATATTTTTATTGTTGAAGAATGATTGAATATTTGAATGAGGATTGATGAATGGTTTATGCTTCGTTTATAACTTGTAACTTAAGACTGACCAACTAGAGCACTAGACGGTAATTTCGATTTGTTGATGCATTTTTTGGCAATTAAATTATGATAATCTCATTAAAAATATTAATTATATTGTAAATTTATAATTGTGGATTCATTGATTTATTGAACGTTGTTAATTTGTTATGATGTAATTTATGCAATTATACTCATCTTATTTCAATTGTAGTTGGTTTAGGTTGTTTGACAAACAATCACTATGTTACGATATTTTCCGCCAAAACCTATTTGGCTGAGTGTCGGTGGTTCTTCATCAAATAATTTAGTTTATTCGTCGAATAATGTCATTTCTAACAATGAGACTATGTTAAAAAAGCTCGAATAGAAGTTGAATTGTCGGATGATAACATTGTTGGAGATTTAGCAAAAACATTGGTTGAAACAGAGTGACACACATATTATAAGCTAGTGTATCGCTCATCCAATTGGCATTGGTTTTACCTGTTACAACAGGCACGGTTGAAAGATCTTTCTCCACATTTGACGCATCAAGTTCTAATCAAAATTTAGGTACTCTTTAATTAGTTGTTTTATTTAAATTTTATAGTTTTGTTTATTGCTATGTTTGTGATGTGTATGATTTCTTTGTTATTGTGCCCCAGCAAGTTACGAGTTCTAGTTCCGCCATTGCACAAGCTAACAAAATGTGGATACACATTGTGCTCTTACTCTATTTTTTTATCTTAAAATGAAGAGAGTAATCATATTATTCAATTCCTTCTTTATTTACTACGTTTTCCTTTTTTGCAAGTTTTATATCCGTATTTCACCTTTAAAATTGTAGGTACATAAAGAGATGTATACGTTTTTACCTACTAAGAGCATCTCTGATACCTAAGCTTTTAACAATAAAATAATCCAACCACGTAATTACATACGAAAGTGTTGCATTTTTTGCTCCAATGTTCTCTTTATTCGGTTATAGGAGGTTGAGTTGTCAGAATAAAACATCAACAGTTTCAAGTCCACTTTCTCATTCTACAAAGCGAGATGATAGTCAAATACTTGTTCTTTGAAAACCCATTCTACTTGTTCTTTGAAAATCCAAAAAATTCTACTCCTTGAAATAGAATGTAACATGTATACACGGATTCATCAACTGTCCCGGTTATATAGAATCAAGAAAGAAGTTTTTTTGTTAGAGGAGAATAGTCAAATACGGCTTCAGATGTGTCAAAACGATGTCAACTGAGCGTGCAACCATCCTGCGTTATACATTTTTCTGTCCATAAAAAAGAATCTACATTTTTGGAAACACTTTCATAAAAGTTACACTTATTCGTCATTCTCTCGCATATCAATGCTCTGCGAATAGGCTAAAGCAAGCCCCACGGGGATTTTGGGATGAATTTTGAATTGGAAAATTATGTGATTAGAAAATCAGGTCTTATTTTATTTTCCATTTATTAAATTTTAAATAAATATGTTTCCATTTGTACAAGATTGCTAGATTCCAACGTGATGCATTGTGGAGCCTTGATGGCTTAAGAGTTTATGTTTTGACAAATGACATTCACCCCACATGAATAAACAATTTGTACATGGGTTGCCATGTGTCACAATTTTTTAAAGTTAAAAGCTCAATATTGGAGATGCTCTAAACTTCTATTCCGTATTTCTTAATTTTTGTCATCTTTTTAAATACTTCATATAATAATACGAAAGAGTACTATTTGGATATATTTTGGTCATTTTCTCATTAAAAATAGCAACTAAATCTTTTCTAAGACAAACATATAAAGTTAGGCCATTCTCTTAAATCATAACCAAAGTGACCAATCAAGAGTTCTGAATTAGATTGTACTTGAAAAGTATGTTTCACATGCTAGAGATCACACAAAGAATAGTCTGCATAAACAGGCACATAATGTAATAATAATAATACTCCATGTCTCCATATGATTAAGTTACATGGTTCAGCTGAGGAAAATTAGACACTAATAATATCATCTGTAGATTCTTTTACAACCGCCTCACAGGCTCACATACCAAACTTTTTAAATAAATCAACTTTTATTTACTCTTTTCTGATATCGGAACACATTTAAATTTTCACGTAGGATTTATTATTTGCTAAAGCACGTTCAGTCATTCACTACATAAATAACTTGTTATATAAACGAGTTTAGAAAGATTGGATATTATTTGCAGTGAAAGACAGCTGATTATAAACAGACAAGGAAAAGGTTAAAGATTTTTAGAATTGCTATCTCTTCTATTAATTTATTTTCTTTGTAACATTATTTGATGCATTTCACGATTTGATACCATGGGATTACATTTTTCTGGGCCAGCACACAATCGGGTGAATGAAGAAGACTCACCCTCAACAATCCTGGTGAACATGAACCAGTTTCATTTTCAAAGTTGGGAAACAAACCGGTAATGAGCTCAATCCTGGGTCAGGTAGAAATGAAGAACCAACTGTTCCGAATCCAATATCAGTTCAATTCTACCTACCCTCCTATTAATTTATTAAATAATGATACCAAAATAGGCCACACTGGTCCTACATTGGTAGAAGTAGGGGCGGTACCGGGACTAGAAAATTGGAGCCCGGTAATAGCCCGGGTATGCTCCAAGACCGAGACAGGTCAAGGCCCAAACAGTACCGGGCCCATATCAGGTCCTGGTCGGTACTCGGTACCACTCATTTAATTTTAAAAATAAAAATAAAAATACTACAGTAGGACCCGGACCCAGGTTGGGCCCAAAAAATGAGCCCGAAGCCCGCCTCTTATTACCGCTGGGCCGGGTACCGCGCCCCGGAAAACCGGCCCGCTAAGTAGAAGGGGTAGAAAGAGACCGGTACAAACTGATTGTGGTCAGTACTATTTCCAGGCTCCAGTTAAAAACCAGTTGGTTCGAATCCAGATTCATGACTGTGCCTAACGCTGCTGCAATGGAAGAGAGGAGCAAGGAGGAAGAAATAAGGTATAGCTACGATAAACGTAAATGTTTGTAATGCAACCAAAAATATATTTCTTCCCGTCAGAAGAAAAGAGATCCAACAATCACAAGTCCTGCACACTTCTCTTTATTAGAATAGTATCACAAATAAATCCATAATACAAGTTAGCATGGGGGGGCCCTCTTCCACAGCATACCATTTCCGTGGTTGGTCATGTGTAGTATCATTTCTCAAAGTCCTAAACAAATCTTCCAAGCTCAGGTGTGTGCATGAATCGCCGCCATAGAAAGAGATACAAACCAGTCATTCCAGTCAAAAGTGCAAAACTCAATAGTCAATACTAATTGATTGCTGATCTGTATCAAACTATGATGCCACCTTTTTCCTGACAACTCTTTTTCTCCTAACTTTGGGAGGAGGTGTTGATGTCTCACCATCAGTTTGGGCCTGTTTTATCCCGAGCAGCCCAAGCCCGGATACAATGGCATTCTTGGATATAAACCACTTGGATGAAGAAGATGAAGAAGAGGATGGATGGTGATCAATAATACGTTCCGATTGTCTATTGTAAGCAGCAGCTTTCTGGTGGACGCTGTCATCTGAATGGGCTGCGGCCAGTTGATCTGCCTCCACTCCAAGCCATGCCAGCCTTGACATCTCACCCACTTGCACATTCATTACCCTGGTTGCAATTATATAAGTTTTAATGAATGAGCATAATGCTCATGACATTTTATTGATTGAAAGAAGCTATGCCTATAAACTCCACAATGTTTCACTTTTCCATGTTAACTAATATGATGAGGAAAAAAGTTTTATCTGGGGTTTTACCTTGGAAATCAAATTTGATACGGAGGTCTTACATACATTTAGATTTCTTAGTCTTTATGCGTTAGAAATGTGTAAACAAAAAAAGATTGAACATATATCTAAAATCAAATTAGAAATCCAAAAAATAATTTATTTTTTCCCAAAATTTTCTTTCCTAATAAATTTCAGGTCCCAAACCGCCCTACATTTATTCACTTATATCTAACCACCAACAAAAACTGAGACCTATATTTATTAAGAGTATAGGTACAATAAGAATTCTTCCCAGTTGAGGGGAATTGATAAGGAGAACCCAGCCACGATGAATAAAGCAGGGGAATGAGATAAAATTAAAGGATATTAACCATTACAAATTGATATAAATCAGAAGTAGTATTTGATAAAAAGATACTTTTAAGACTGGATGATAAGTTTTAAAATCTAGAATTGTCATATGATATCAAACAAGTGCATAAACGTATACCTCAAGGCAGTGCTTAAAAATAGAGGAACTCCAATAACATCAAAGTAATTCACCATTGATTGGTCAAAGCCACATAACAGCTGATACCGCAGATTTGCATATAGGCCTAGAAATGTTCCATAACCAAGTGCATTGTTTCTCACTGATGGGATACTCACTGATAACCTGCCAAAACACAATTAAAAGATGTTTACACACAAGAAAAGTTGTCCAGGACAGCCATGTTTCATGATTTACAGGTTGATTTTACAATATCAATCTCATAATGAAAGAAGACTTCAGAGGGGAAGTTTGGTTGTGAAAATGTAGGACTAACTTGTTTCATACAGGTTTTAAGATTACTGACAGTAATTTGAGATTATCTCCGGGTACGAAAATGAGGTGTTGGGCCTTGGGAGTAATGTAATTGCATTGGGTTTCTTAAGTAATGTAAGACTACCATAATAATATTCTATGTATGCCCTTACATAAGGTATTGCTATATTTTCTCAGAAAAGTGCTAATATTACGTTTTTATTATCCTAACCACACCCATCAAGCCATCATGTAATTTTACAATCATCTATATGCTCCGGTCATCTCAGGCGCCTTCCCAAAAGTAAAAGGTAATCATATAACAAAAGGTAATCTTACATCCTTAACCAAAAGCCATATTAGGTAATCTTACATTCAGGCACTCTCACATGAGTTCAGTTTTGTTCACCCCCTCAGAGGGTGAACATCACCCCCACCCTACATGGGTGCCATGTGGCAACACAATATATTATAATTTGGCAATTATTTTAACTATTTCATTTTTTATTCATTTAAAAAAAAATCAATTTTTTTATTTTTTATAATTTTCTGGTACCAATATTGTATATGAAAAATTAAAAAAAACAGCTAAAAATAGATACTTATAAAAAAATTATTTTTTTTATTTTTTTATATACAATATTGATACCATTGGAAAGATAATAAAAAGTTATTAAATCTGATATATTTTTTTACAAAAATTGAACCATAAATAAAAAGTTATAACAATTTAAAGAAAAAAAATGAAATGTATTGCCACATGGCAGCAATTGAGGTAGGGGGTGAACAAAATCACACTCCTCTCACATGGCCCTCAAGAGGTAATATAATCTTACATTCTGATAACCAAGTACCCCCTAATAACCATCTCAACTCATTGCTGGGTCATGAAGTTTTTCTTGCAACAAAATTGACAAACAGCCACATACCTTCCCTTTTTCTTACTGGCAACAAAATTTGATATAGCACCTTGAGCAGCTCCCATGGTAACCCCAATCATACAAAACTCAGCAACCTTGTAGAAGAATGACTGAAACCTCTTCTGCATATCAAATTCTCTTAGCGGATAGCTCTTTTCAAATATATTGTTCGGGAGCTTCTGCAATGTATTTTGAAGATCATAGCGAAAAGTGTTTCCATACGAACGACAAGGAGCGAGAGACCAAATCGCAATAGCATTACAAGCAGTTACTGTGAGCACATTAACCAGAGCAAGATCCCACTCCTCCTTTATCCTACAAATTGTGATGATAAATGCAACATAAGCAACAGCGGAAAGGAAAAGGTATTTGTGATGTCTCGCATCCTTTAGAGTCTGTTTGGAATCCAAAAAATGATAGGGAAGGAAATAAGAAGGAAAATCAAAGGTAACTGGGTTAGGTACGTTCGGGAGGGGGAAATCAAAGTAATGTAAAATGGTTCAACTTGAATAAAATCTATTTTAGATGTTTGCTCAAACCCATTCTATTAATATATTTTTAAAATTTAAGATGAATAAATCTACGTGTATGAAAATCTTAAAAAGATATGATAACACTTAACAGTTGATTTTGCTATGGTAAAATCAGATATTAATCTTGGTGTCTTCTTTTCTTTTCCTACCATATACCGCATTGCAAACATAATCTAAGCAAATATTAGGCAAAAAATACCTCTCCTTGCGATTTTTAACTTCATGCCAAACTGAGCATCCAATTGTGGCTGCTTGCTCAAGAAGAAGCTTGTACAAAAATGATGGGTCTGCAATCATCCTGTATCATTCAAATACAAAATCCAAGATGAATCAACTGAATATTGCTTGAAGGAATATTAGTTATTGCTTGATTAATAGTTGGATGGAAAAAATAATGCACCACAAGCATACTATTCAACCTAGATATATCTCTTCACTTTCATTAACTTTGGTTTTGTGTCGTGAAATGTGAATTAGGAAAGTGGCATCATAAATTCCAATGCTGCTTCAAAACACGTGAGATTTTCTTAAACTAATGTTCGCGTGTCTTAGCAGTTCTATCTAAATCCACATCGAGAGCACGTAGTCCGAGATTCCAAGATTCCGAATGACATAAATGAAGGGCAATTCAGGGAAACATTATCTTTTGAAATTTTTGAGTGATATACCCGTATTTGTCATTCAATTACAATTTACACAAACTAATCATTAAATACTCGACCCCACTCAATGTTAAATGCACACAGGGCATGGCGGCATGCCAAATTGGAATGTCAGTCAATAGTGTCAAAAAATGTCCGCCTGCATTTTTTAAATATTAAGTTATATACATGCTTTATCCTATGTTATTATATTTTTTATCTTTTTTAAAATTTTTATTTTTAAGCTCTGACGTCATATGTCAATTCATGTTAGCCAACCCCAAACTCTTTTGGGACTACGACGCTTGGATGTTGTTATTGTAAGTTTATACATGTTGCAACTCGCAAGAATGCAAAATTCCATTCTGCTGAACATCCTCAAAGCTTTGAAAGTTCTTCAAAACTTGGGTAACTTCTTAAGTTTGGGATTCTACTTTAACTGATTGGTCTAAGAATAGTATAACATATTACCTACAACAACAATAACAACATCACCCCAGTGCCGCAAAGGCTCCCACCTATGGTGGGGAGTATTACAATATGAGAAAATTTTCTAAATAGCAATAAAACAAGTATAATGTTTATAAATAAGACTATCATTGTTTTCTTCCCAAAATAGAACTCATTCACTCCTAATTTGGGAGGTTTTAATCAACGTATTCTATTAATAGGACTAATAAGTCTTATTTGGGAACTAAAACATACTTAGCCCTATTTTAGAAATTTGTGTATGTTTTAGTCCTATATTGAGTAATTTCTGTTACCATTATATTACCTAAACGTCCAAAAATACACAAGGATACAACAACCAACCCTTATTCCCAAAAGTACAAAAGGATATTGAGTTTAAACTAGCATTACCTGCCAATAAAACCCCTAGAGAGTCCGTGAGGAATTGACCGAGAAATGAACCTGGCAGTTGTAGGTCTGGCATTTATAGCCAAAAATCTCACCATTTGTGCAGAGCTCACCAGACCCTGGATGCATACAACCCCATCAACAATCTGGTAATAAATTTCACTTAAGCCATAGAAGAAAAACAAGTAAAAAATGATTTACCATCTCATATGCTTGTCTAAATCCAGCTGGTAAATCCATTATTGTCTTCTGCCACTCATTCAAGATCGCATCAACAAATTTGCGGTCAAATATCTGGAACGTAATGGCAAAGATGTTAGATTGGACCAATCTTGACCCAGAAGTATCATATCCTCAAAGATGTGAGGTTTACCTCACTCTTATAATCTAGATTCAAATCCAGTAAATAACAGATAAGGGAATAACTTAACACACTCATACTGATATACATGATTCAAACCCAGTAGACAATTATGGTGGCATAATTCAACACACACACACACTTATATAAGTATATAAGTGTGTTGTCAATCCCAGATTGCAAAGCAGAGTGGCCCACCCCGAACACGCTATAGCTTCATTGCAGGATGACAGCTATTTGGATAACTTTTATACATAATGTAATATTATATGTATACATATAATTACATAAGATACACATATTAAATGCATAAAATGGCAAATACTACTCAAAATCTCATACTTCATGACATTCATATTAGGACCTTTCCAACTATTCTACATTTCTACTTATAATCATGATAAAGGTTGTGTTGTGTGGACTGTAACAAGGCCGTGGACTCCATACTAAACAAACATCAAGGACAGTGGTAGATGACTAATAAGAGTTGAAAGTAGTTGAAGAAGCAAGGTGCTGCCGCCAAAGACTTTCTGGTTTTGTGTGTAGGTTTTTGAGCTACAACTCCTGTCATTGGGGAAGCAGAATAGAGATGACTAAGAACAATGTTTAAGAATGCTGGGATGGGTTTTACATACTTGGAAGGGTTATAGTGGAGTTACTTTTAATTCGAAAAGCCTACTTTACCATTTTAATAAATTTAGAAATTGAAATTTCCTCAAAATGCTCTAACTGTAACACAGACATCTTAGAACTTAGAACTTAAATAGTGGCCGCAATAGCGGCCGGCCGGCCGCAGTTTCTACAAAAGCCAAACACTCCGCTACAGATGCTCTAGTAGTAGTAGTGTCCAGGTGCTGCTCTGCTCCAATCTGCTATAGCATGCTATTGATTTCATCGTTATATATTAGATTCAAACCAAGTAGACAACCCATTTGAGATATCACAACACATCCCTCAATCGAAGTCAATGCAAGAACTCAAAAAGGTATCCAAATTGGCCAGACCAACTACCAAAATAGTATCTAAAACCCAACAAGTAGGACACGCTCCATAAACCACTATTGGACCAAACTTAGATACCATGTTAACTACACATAACTCACCCAAAATAATACTCAATAGGCCAATTTCACCTCACACTTTATATACTATGTACTATTTTGGACTCATACCTAGTGGACAAAGAACCAAGACGTAATACCCAACAAAAGCTATCGCTACATTGTATTACTGGATATCCAATTATTTTAAACTCAAAGAAATATAGAGTGACTTCAACATAGTATTGCATCAAAGCAAGTTACCTCTGGAAAAATCATGCGCTTTCTGAACAACCCACCATCATCTCCATCATTGTCATCATCAAAGTCATCCATGTAATCGTCATCATCACCGTCGTCGTCACCTCCATCACCACCCCCGTGAAAAATGATTTTTCCAATGTCTCCCCCTCCGCCTCCCGTTGCAAGCTGTTCATATTTTCCAAATTTAACTAAATTTACTCACATATCCATCAAACTTTGTAATATGTCACTAGCAGAATCTGAACTTTGCGCATTGAAATGCAATAACCTACCGGGCAAATGCAGCCTACTTCCCATAGTTTTAAGTCTTTAACAAAAAGTTCGTCCAAAAAAAGAAGTCTTTAACAAGAAAGCAGTGCAGAAGAAATGAAAAAAGTACCTCGGGACTAATCTCCTTTTGTTTCTGGCTCAAATCTAGTTTTGGTTTCTCCAAAGTAACCGCGCCTATTGACCCATACTTTCCTCCTCCCTTCATAACTGGTGCGTACATAACAGTAGACGGCGCCGATGAAGTTGAAGATAAGCAATCAGGCGAATCCGCCGGCGGTGAAGCCTGAAAGCACCGTTCTAGACCTAAAACAGAATTCCCGTCTACCACGGGCGACGATGCCTTAGTATACGATTTCTTTACCTTCCCGGCCATTGCACGCAGCAGTTTCGGACGGCGAAGTGCACCGCCAGGGTGCAATAACTGCTTTTGTGATGATAATTTCTTGGGAGTGGAGGTTCTTGGAGTGTATACGGGCCTCAATTGAGCAGCTTGGAAGACTGAGTGTGACATTTTGCGATGATGTGGGGAACTTGTTCATGCGATTTTCCTAGTTCTGTGATTGAATTGAGAAAAGCTATGGCCTTTTTCTTATCTCGAGAGTGAGAGGCAATCGAGGATAGAATTCAGGGAAAAGAAAACGTTAAGGTTTTGAAGATATGGAGGGAGAAGAACTGAGAAACCAATCTGCAGAGCGGGTGGAAGCGCTGGGAACGACGAGTTGACTCGGTCGCCTTTTGCTCTAACCTAACCTACCTCCGAAGTGCGAGTGAGCGTAAAGCCAATGCCGTCTAAATACACGTGCGAAATTATTTATTTTTAGTGCACAAAACCCCTCAAATATAAAATTTGTTGCATTAGTACACATGATTTACAAGATTTGAAATCCTTTGTGTTATTATTGTTCATTTGCGAAACCTCTAAAGGAATAAATTTAATTGTCAAATAAATGGAAGTGGAAATGATTAATATTTTTGCATAATCAGATGTTTTAATAAATTTATTAGTATATTCAATCTTAATATTAAAACTAATGATTTTCAAAATTATTAAATTTCTACTTATACAAGAATAAATCTAACACATGAAGATTTGACACATTTTATACATGAAAGTGAATAATGCTTCAAAAAATTCATATATCAGAAGATGGTTTAGTGCATTAAACCTCATCTTCAATAATATCCATGTTAAATAAATAAATAAAAAATAAGAATGTGACTAAAGTGATTAGAGGTACACAATAACGTATTTATATTCACTATGATATAAATTTTGAATATAATTATAATCACTAAAAATTACTAAGTCATAATTATATTCAGTATTTTTACTATTTCTATTAGAATTGCTTTGTATTATATTATTAATTATATACGGAGTATTCGTTACTATAATTATACTATAACTATTATTATCACTATTACTACTCCGAGTTACTTTATTTTAATTATATGAAATATGATAGGGAAAAATAATTGAAATATCTCAAATTTTGAAGGATTGAGAGGTAAACATTCCGATCTTTGAAATGCAATATAAATACCTCAAACTTCGTCTCTTTTTAATATTATCTTTTTTATTATAGATTATCTTTTTTATCTTTCTTTTTCTTTTGATTTGCAATATCATGTATCAATTTGTGTTAGTTGACCCCAAAATCTTTTGGGGCTAAAGCTTGGATGTTGTTATTACGTTGTCGTTGTTAATAGTTATATATTGTCGTTTTTTTTAAATGTAAACTAATGATGTTAATTGCATACTTTAAAATATTTTAGCATTCGTGAATATATATATATATATATATATATATATAACATTCTAAACTTCCATTGTGAAAAAATAATATTATGTACCCTCAATTTATATAATTGCAATGTTTTATAATTGAAATAAAAATATTTTAAATTATGTCATTAATATCATAAATTTACATTTTTTAAAGAAACAATATATGACCATGGTGCAAAAAAACTTTTTATGTAAAGTTTAGGATGTTTAAATTACATATGCAGGTTTGGAGTATTTATTTCACACTTATTTACCGGTTGGGGTTATTTGAACTATTTTTCTCTATGATATAATATGAAATATATTAAATACTTAAGTAGTGTAGATTATAAATTTAAAATGGCGTTGATTATAATATATGGTACAACCGGTTGTACCGTGTGTATGGTACAACCAGACTTTTTGTTCTTTGCGCACTGTTCATCGTCCCTCGTAGCTTCGCTTGCACAATCGGATCTCTTCACCCCCTCCTCGCATGGCTCATAGCTTCCTATCCACTGCGATTGCTTCGCTCGCCTCTCGGATATGCGATGATGGAGCCCTCAATGGAGGAGGCTGTGGTAGTTTTCACGAGTGATTGTGGCGACGAAAGGGATCAGATATCAACCTTACTTTGATAGCTTGTTTGCTACGTTGCGAAAAAACTAAGATATACCGAGTATACATGTAGTTTTAATTATTGATAAGAGTATACACAAATTAAAAGTTGAGCATAGTAGAGATTTAAATGAGCTTTTTGAAGTGTTCGATGCTCATTTTGTAATTTATGTGTGCTCATTTGATATTGGTGTAATACTCATTTAAAATGTCATATTTATGCATATTTCAAAAATATAATATTACATTAAATTCACATATTATATTCATACGAGTTCATTGCAGATGTTTTAAAAAATAACAAAAAGAAAATAAATTAATTATAAGATATAGTGAATTATAAGATATGAAGCCGATATCGTGAATTATTAGCTGCACTTTTCATGAATTATGTTTATGAACTAAAATGTTATTTATGTTATTTGTTTTTTAATCCTTCTATGTCATTCATGGTTACACCATTTGTGTTTTAATATATGATATACTTCGTATTACTTTTGAATAATTTGCATATCATATTTCATGTTTTTTAATTTTTGTCTCTCCTTCTCTTCTACTGTTTCAATATGTTCCGTACAAAGTCATGAGCTCATGGTATTTGTATTCAATCCTTTTGTTTTCATATAAAAAAAGTTACATGTAATTGGAAATTTTAAAGTCATATATATCTTTCAGAACAAAGAAGTCGTATATATGACTCAATTATAAAGTCATATACTCATATGTCATGTGTTGTGTCCATTCAAGGTCCAGTGGGTACCTAAACCCCTGCTCAAACTTTTCTATTAATGTATTATACTATGTATATCGGTTTTAACTGTTTTGATTTTTATAAAAAAAATTAGAAGATATATAATATAAGTATGCTAATCAAAGTCATCTATCAATTATTGGTAGTATTACTTATTTATTTATAATTAATTTATGTAAGCTATACTTCTTTTATTTTGTTTGAACTAGGCTCAATTGCTCAAATGCTCAATGGCTCACGCTTAATTATAATCTTGGATCGCCCTTGATCTTATTTGTATAGTGGTCTTCTCAATTGTAAGACTACGGGGTATTGGACTATAATTATCATGATCATTCTTTCAAAGAATAAATAGCTATGGAAATTGGAAATTATTGAAAAATAATGGTCGTTATCTTTTCATAATTTCATTCGCTGATCCACTTTGACAAGAGGTTTTGTGGAAAGTCTCGAGGGTTCGCATATCAGCATACGTAAGAACAGTAGAGCTTTATACTCGTAGAAAAGGTATAAAAAGTAAAAAAGATGAGGAGAAAAGAGGAAAAAGTTAATATAATCTTGTCAAAAAAAAGTTGATATAATAAGAAAGATGAAGAGAATGAAATAAGTAGAACAAAAATCCTGAAAAGAAATGCGTCAACAATTGTAGAACGCATTTTTTTAAGCATTAGAACTTTACAGGTGCCAAATACTTCGTATAATTTTGGAAACAAGTACGATCAGTAAATTTTCATTAGTCATCACCTACTTTAGAAAGAATAATGATATAAATATATAACGATACTAGTTTTTATAACGAGCGATGCACGAATAGAATAGTGCCCAATGTACTTTGTAAAATATACTCCGTATATAATTACGTAGTACATTTTTTTGAGCTCATAAGGTTTGCAAACAAATGGAAAGAGGACACAAGTTTACGAAAAATAAAAGCAAAATAGATATGAACTTAGGACCATAACTTGTGTGTAGAACAAATTATGGTCACATTTTGACAATGTATTGTTTTAGTTGAAACTATTTGTCACATACAAATACTTGCCTACCGCAAGCTAAAACGGATGGATGTTTCATCTGGCGTATTCATTAAATAATTGAATAAGTTGTGTTGAATCCTTAGACGATGGGAATAACAATTAGTGACTTATAGTATACTCCCTCCGTCCCCTTTTAAATGTCCCGTTTTACCATATTGGGATGTCCCTATTTAATTGCCCCATACCTTATTTGGTAAACTTTGTGTGGCTCAAAATCATTCTTACTTTATTCTTACTTTATCAATTAATATCAACCACACAAACTCACTTTTCTTAAAACCCATAACACCATCTCCCGTCCCATTTAAAAGGGGACAGAGGGAGTAACTAATAGTGAGAAGTAGAAGAACAAGAGACCTTGTTCATCTGGTATATAAGAATATCCAAACTTATTTTGATTGTAATTTCATGAGGTAATTTCCTTAAAAGTATGGAATATCATGTTTGGAGCTACTGTATATGAATCAAAATCTTAGCTAGCTAGACATGTAATTCTACCTCTCATGTGAATATATGATTGTTCTTTACATGATCGAATCCTTACATCCACCTATTTAAAGGTGAAACCAAATTAAATGAGATGCAAAAACTGACAACGGTAAGTGGTTTGCAAGGAAACATGGAGACTTTGCTAAATCCTATTTAAACTTGAAGATTTTCCCAATTTAGTATTGAGAAATGTGGAGGCAGAAAAGTAAATGACATCCAACAATTTCGTCAATTAGGCTATTGTTGTTAAAATGTTTTGAAAATTGCATTAAATGGTCATTTTGGGCAATTTTTTGAGTGGGGTCCACTTCCGATTTGAGTCGGGTCAAAGTGGTTTCGGATTGTCCTTGTTAAGGACTACAATTCGGTATATGGTACGCTCAAAACAGATAACGGGTGAATGAGAAATTGATTTTCGAAGTTTACCCGTTAGAATGAGAAAACTGAGAAAAAGGATGGGTTTCTAGTGTGTTATTTCCCACACTGGAAAATCCAAGGGATTTGCAACCCTTTATAAAGGACTTCCCCTTAAGGAGTTAAGATTCCTTAGGGTAAAGGCTCTCTCCATGCGTGCAGGGGGTGCAAATCAAATCCCGAAATCGGAGAAGAAAAACTGTGACATGCGTGCGCAAGAGACCTGCGGACACAAATGTCGTCCAAAAATCTATCTCTCAAGAGATACGGTCATTCAATGCCCAACGGACTAGTCATTGATGTCCAACGTTCAGGTCCATTAATTCACCATTTACACACAACAAATCCTCTTATATAAAGGCCGGCGGGTGGTTTGCAACAACATCACGTTCATACACATTCCTCACGTATTTCTGAGCTCTAAAAACACCTCCAGCATTCCGAAAATTTCCTAAGTGTTCATACTGTGTTCTCGTTCGCTGGAACTCTTGTTTGTGTGCTCAAACATTAGTTCGAGGTCATCGTATCCTGGGAAACGATTGTTGCAACGCTCCTAGCACCGTGGGAGGCGACAAATACGTTTTAAGGATATCGTGCGTAGCACGAGCTTTGACTAAATTCTGCTCCATCTTACTTCTGTTTTCTTTCGTCATTTTAATTAATTTTCTTTGTTTTCCGAAACACACCCAACAACTATAACT